GAATATTTAGTTCAGGTTGAAGGTCTGAGCTCACTGATGATGTCATTTCCTCCCACAGGAGTCCAAAGAGTTTCTGCGCTACTTCACTGAGTGAGTATCTGCTGCTGTTCATCAGTTCACAGAGACATCTTCAGTCCTCTAAATGACGTCAGCGAGGTTTTACAGATTCAGGGAAGAGTTCAGCTTTCTGCTCTGATGTCACACCAACCTGTGTGCAGGAAGCTGCAGTTCCAGCCGCTGCCTGCAGACGTCCCCGTGCTGTTCCGGGTGGTGGAGCTGCCGCTGGAACATCATCTCTGCAAAGTGAAATCTCTCAACAAAGGAGACGCCAACTCTGAGGTCACCGTCTACTACCAGGTAAAAAAAACAAAAAACACAACACCACAGAACTGCTGATTCCCGCTTTGTCCAATAGGGGGCACTCTCAATCTCGTCCAGAATGAACAAAACTGTAAATTTCATGATGTTCATCCTGGTTTTGATAGAAGAGCTCAAGACAACAGATATAATTCTATTTTTTATATTTTTGTGGTTTTATTTCAGTAAAATGCCTTAGTGCGAGTATCAGGGACATCACAGCGCCACGAGTTGCTTTACAGCATCCTCTATTTTAATTTGGGGCATGAAGCCAGCAGCGGTCTCCTGATAGTATCACCTTCAATCACAACCAGCTGCTTCCTGCTGGGCTTTAATTCTGTGTGTGTGTGTGTGTGTGTGTGTGTGTGTGTGTGTGTGTGTGTGTGTGTGTGTGTGTGTGTGTGTTGCAGTCCGGGCTGAAGAAGCTCAGAGAGCACGCTCTCATGGAGCTGATGGTGGTGAGTGTCGCCTCAAACACTGAACACAAGTTTAACATTTAGAAGCAAACTGAATAAATCCAGATCGTTCAGGTTCACAAAGGTTCTGTGACTCCGCCCATAAGAACCTGTAGCCGATGTAAAGATGGACGATCACCCCTCTAAGGTCGTCTCCCTGTACACCTGCTCTGACCACTCACCCTGTGATTTGACCTCAAACACGTTCGCAGAGCAAACACGAGCCTCTGCTCTGGTGAGGAAGGGGCGGTCAGCACAGGACTAACAGGAAGATATTTAAAAGGTTCAGAGGAGACCGCCTTCAAGGAAAGATCATCCAG